GGTAACTCTTCATTTATTTTTATCATTTTCTACACCATAAGAAACAAATGGTGGGTAAGGTAAAGTTCAATAAGTATAATTCATACAACACATATAATGTCCTTGATGCATGAATACACATAATGCAACTTTCATAAAGTCCTTTTTCATGCCTTTGAAAACCATTTTTCTTTTCCTTTTTGGATGCACCCTTTCCTTTATCATTTCTTCTGTTGGGGCCTTCACCAAATCCTCTAAATGTTGAGGCCTTTACCGAATCCCTTAACTGTGAAATGCCTTTACCAAATCTCTCAACCGTTAAAACCTTTATCGAATTCCTCGATGAAGAAGTGCGTCAATTTCTTCGGCTAGGGCCTTCACCAAATCTCACAACTATCAAGGCCTTTACCGAATCCCTCGATGAAGAAATGTCATTATCATAAAAATCATGAAAACTTTTTTTTCTTTTTCCTTAAAACCTTTTTCCTTTTATCAAAATCATGAATATAAAATTCCTTTTTCATAATAATGATATGCATATGCATTTAAACAAAATGCAATGCCATGAACATTTTCTCAACATGTTTACCCTTTGAAGATCCTCAAGAACATGGACAACATAATACATCAATTACATGTTCCAATAATATAAGTATGCATGCAACATAAAACAAGTCATTTGCATTCCATAAAAATAATGATTATCACCTCAAGGCCAAGCAAACAAGCATCATAATCAATCAATTTTTCATGTAAATATAATCATTCTCATTCTTCTCGATCCTCTAAACTTCACATCTAATAATTTCCTTTTTGTCCTTGTTTTTCATGCTTAGTCGAATTTAGGCTAAGTGAAGGACAATCTCTCATTCTTTCAATCTAGTCTCGGGAATGCCCCTAGGACATTTTATCAAGCACATGGTAAGCATTAGGTAAAGTAACTACCAATTTATATATGTTTATGGATTGTTCATACACCTTATTCTTAGAAAAAAAACACATTTTAAACCCGAATATTCATATCATTCAAGTGCTCAAACATTATTATCCTTATAAAATAAATACATAATCATCATCATACCATTACAATTCAATCATTTTCATATAATCCTCAACAACATATTAATTAACCTTTCATCAAGCAAACCTTAAATCAACACTATTTATACCTTAAAACATAGATTCTTATATTATAAGTGAGGAATTAAACTAACCTTACTTAGAATTTGACCTTTCTCCTTTTTTTCTCCTTGATTCCTTCCTTTCTCTTCCTTTCAAAAATTCAGCCAAAATGGAGAATTTCTTCCTTCTCCTTGCTTGATCTTCTAAGATGGTTTGAAGCCTAATTTAAGGTGTTTCTAAAATAGTTACGGTGATTGGGAGTGGTGGCTTTGGATAGGTGGAGTCTCTCTATCTCTTTTGCCCTTGGTTTTCTTCTCTTCTTTCTCCTTTTTCTTTCTCCTCCAGCTGCCTCTCTCTCTTTGCTCAAATCTAGAATTCCATATTTTTCTAACTCCTTTTTTCCCTTGATTTCAACTAATGGGTCCCTCGCATTATAGATACTTTACACCTTAGTCCCTAAACTTCTAATCCTGTCAATTTGATAATGTAATTTCAGTCCATAAATTTATATTTTTCATCAATTTGGCCTTCATATAGGCCAATCTTAAAGTTAATTTAAGTCCCTAGTGGTTTCTTAATCATTTCAATCAAGGACCTTGATACTTAATCTTTGAGATTATACCCTTATACTTTGTAATTGCATCCATATGACAATGCATAACTATATCAATTAAGGATACCAATATCTAATTCAAGCTTTCCTCATTCCATAAACCCATTTTATAAATTTTACTTGTGTTCCTTTTACTCTTAATTGAACTTCAAACTTACTCACTCATTAAATAATTACACCTTTTATTACTTAAATAAAATATCCATACATCACAATTACACTTCTAAGAGGGTTTTAAGTCACGAATATTATAGAAAGAAACTTCTTAAGCTCAAAGATTTAGTTTGGAAATAAATTCACCATATTATTGATAATGGTGAAACAATAAAGCTATGGTGGGATTTTTGACATCCAAATGGGATTCTCATCAAAGTCTTTGGCACAAGACGTATGTATGAATCGGTATTCCTACCGATACTTTGTTGGAGGTTGTTAAGATCGTGTGGAATGCTATTTTTGTTTTTAAATATGGATTTCATGGAGTAATTGGTAGTCGGAGTATAGAATTATAGTGAGTAATAAAGCATTTGCAAAGGAAAAATTTTCTTTCCAAGTGTTACCAGATTGACATGGAATACAACCATTTATGGTTTGTGGAAACAAAGAAGTTGTAAAATCTATAGTAGAAATATTTCTTCTCCAAATGATGTGACTAGATGGATTCGTCGGATTCATCATTACAGAGTTACGCAATTCTAAGCTTCTAATCGAAGCAATGCTTAGTTCAACATTTGAGTCTATTTGTATTTAATGGATGTTGTCCTAATATGTTTCATATATTTGTCATGGATTCATGCTTTATAGGAGGTTAAACTCCTACTCGTATCTTTTTTGATGAATAGAAAATTTCATTTAACAAAAAAGAAAAAAACATGGTACTTGTCGCCTCCAAGAGTTTATGCTAATCTATATAAAAAATGTAACTATATATGCATGTCAATATGGTAAGCATTATTCTATTTAAATTTAAAAATCGAGTCAAGTCGAAATGAAATATTAATTTCTATTCAATTTTTAATTCAAAATGAAAAAAACCAATTTTTTTTTCATTTTTCAATTCGATTTGGTTTTGAAATTTTTTCTTGATATTTTTAAAATTTAAAATAATGAAAATAAATAAAAAAATATATACATTAACATTGTTATAGATATATGATGCATTGATGATGTTTTTGATCTACTTATATTATTTTATAAATTTTAAAGAATAAAAAAATTGGTTTAAATCGAAAAAAACCAAAACGAAAAGCTGAAATTTGGATTTAAAAAAAAAAACCAAATAATATTTTAGTTCGAATTCGGTTTTTTTTTTTAAGATTTAATTAATCAAAAACCAAATTGAAATGTTAAAAATCAAACTGAAAAATCAAATTATCATCCCTATTTGTCATTGCAAGTATTAAAAAAAAAAAAAGAAAGAAAAAACAGGATATAGAAAATGATCAACTATCAATACTATAAAGTCACCGAGTTTGCCCGGTTCTCGCCACTCTTGTAATTTTTCCCACACACACACACATATACATATTGTGTGTTTATGAGTAACACTAGAAGTCCCTCTTGTATTGTTTTTTTGATATATATCCTTGTACTTACATTTTTAATTTGGATAATTGAGTTTTTATAGTTTGTTCCATTATACAGGAATGGTTCGTTCCATTATAAGCAACCTAATTTTATCTTAATTTTGAATTTTAAAATGAAGGTAGAAACATGGTTTTAATTTTAGAAAAAAAGAAAATTTGATTAAAAATAAAAAAATGTTAAATTTTTTCCAACTTTGTATTTATTTATTTCTAGAAATTATTTTCAATTTTTTATTCACGTGAAAATATATATATTTTTATTTTAAAAGGACACTTTAAAAAAAATGTTATTTTTTATTAATTGATGCTAGGTTTTTTATATGTTCCTGTTTTTTTCTATAGATGAGTTTTTATTTTATTTTCAAAAGCCAAAGAAAAATATTAGAAAATAAATAAATTTTATGTAAAAACCATAAAATCTCAAACACATAAAATCAAAATTTTATGAAAATTAAATTGCAAAATCATGCTTGTAAAAAAAATACACAAATTGAATTAGCATGTGTCATCAATAAATCGATATTATTTAATCTTTCATAGATGAAGCAAAAAAATAAAGTAACCCTTTTTATTACATTAAAGTAAAAAAAAAACACTTTTTCTATGGTAAATAAATAAACAGTCACTTAGAAAATTAAAATTATATATAAAAAATCAATCAAAAAAACATTTTGTTTATTTTTTCCTTTTTAAATAAATTTGAAAGCAAATTTCCAAAGCAAATAAAAAATTCGGAAAAACAAATTTTAGCTTTAAATAAATAAAAAACTGGAAAATGTTTTTAACAAAAACTTTTATTATTATTATTATTATTTGAAATTAGAACCAATATAAAGATGACATGTGCCCTCTCCTTGTTTTAAAAGTCAAAATTAGCTGAAAAGTGGGTTGGTTATGGATGGAGAACCTCTACTTTCCAAGTGATCAAACCATAAAAATCAAATTGCTTGATCAAAACCATTAAATTGTTTTTGTCAAAAATCAATATCACGCGAGTCTCTAGTGTTTTTAAATCTTCTTCGGTGTGTGGCGTAGGGGCGGATCTAAGAGTGTAGGTGGAGTCTTGGCCCCCCTAAAGAAAAACAAAGGTCCCTAAAGTTCAATGGTTTCGTTAACATTCCTGTATACAGTGGTCCATTGCAAATAAAAGATGATACCTTTTAGTCTTTATTTTGTAACCTCTGAATATGTAGAAAGTACGATGGATTCAGTCTCGGTTAACATAAAAATTAAAATAATGATATCCTATTATTTGTAAATATTATAAAAAAACAGATTATATTAAAATATATAAAATTTAAATTTTCTTTTAATAAATATATTGTTTCTATTTTTATAGATAGCTTAAATTATATCAATTTTAATAATATAATTATCAATTAGTAGCATGGTTTTAATTTAATTCGACGAAACAGGAGTGTTGAGTACCGCCGGACTCAGGAGTATTTTTCGAATGAAATACGCAAAATGAATATTTCTCATCGCGCTCACTTCGTAGACACGCGAGCTTTTCATGATGTTGGACTTTAACAAGTTAAACGGGACCTGGACAATCCAATTCTAGAACAAGAATATACTTCCCCTTATAGCCAAACGGAAGGGATTTATGAATTTTCAACTCTCCAGCGAAGCAAACCAAGGAAGAAGAAGAAGGAAAAAGAAAGCTCCATACTTGAATTGAATAGAAGCAGAAGGGTGAAATGGAAGAGGCAAAAGAACTGACGTCGAGCTCACTGAGTCAAGGTCTGAATCACCATGGTTCGGACCCTGACGATATCCCCAAGTCCCCTCCTGGGTCCCCCAATTCCTCTACTGGCAAGGTAACTCTAACAGTAACACTTCTATACATATTTCCATGGTATCAAATCCCCAAATACTGAACTAAATAGATAGATCTTTATGCTTTGCTTGTGGATTTTTGTTTTTTAGTTATTTTCAACTATATTTGATTATTTCAATTAATCATAGTTAAGTGTGCCATTAAAGGATGTTTTGTTTGTTTGATAATTCAGGCTTGCTATGCTGTTCTTCAAAGTTGGGTTTCAAAGAAGTTCATGACTGGATTGTACGATAAATAAACAAGCTTGGTTTTTTTTTTTTTTTTTTCTCGAATTGCACATTACAATAAGATTGTGAAATTGTCTGCAGCGTTGTTTTGTTTCCAGTGGCTGTTACATTTTTAGTGACATGGTGGTTTATTCAGTTTGTTGATGGCTTCTTCAGTCCGATTTATGCCCATCTTGGCATTGACATTTTTGGTGAGATTTCGAAGCAACTCTAAATCATGGCTCTTGACTTAATTATCATTAAAGCCTGGTGCCCTAACCATTGGATGCAAGTACGAATTCATGATTTGAGCTATCTTTGTGCTTGGACTTTTACATTTTAAATATCACAATCCTGGTTCAAGTTATCTCTTTATGTTGTATTCTGTAGTTCGTACTTGCTTAATTTTAGTTGTCATGATGGGATTCATGACTGATTATGTCTCATATGTTGTTTGAACCAGGCCTTGGGTTTGTTACATCAATCATTTTTATACTTTTCATTGGCATATTTGCTTCTTCGTGGCTGGGTGCCACTGTTTTCTTGATCGGGGAATGGTTTATTAAGAGAATGCCATTTGTGAAGCACCTATACTCAGCATCTAAACAAATTAGTTCTGCTATTTCTCCAGGTAATTCGTTTTTCAATTTGTTATATGCCATCAGCCATCACTAAAATGTCTTCATTTAAAGTTGCTAGCATGAGTGAAAAGGGATGATAATGTAATTATATTTATTTTTGCTAACACTGAAACCTTTTTTTGTCATGATAAAATGACTAAAATTTGCCCAAGAGAGGGGTCATGAAAGCAAAAGTTACCTCCAAAAAGAAAAAGAGCATAGACAACGTGTTGCTTTAATCTTGTTGTTCTATACTATAATGACATTCAGGAGCTGTTCCAAAACACTTTGCCTAGAAAGAAAAAGATGCAACAAGTCATGATTTACAGAAGTTTGTGCATCAGGATCTTATGTTGCTGAGAGGGAAGCTTTTTGGAAATCTATATATAGAAATCGATCTATCTATCTATCTATATATGAATTTTAAAACCTTTCACTGGGAAGCAACACCTGAATTTCTCAAGGTAGTTTAAGGAGCGGCTTGGAAGGAGCTACACAAATCATAAGTCCTCTCAAAGGAAGCTTAGGGTGGTAATAGACTGATGAAAATATATTCCACCGTCCAAAAAGTATTCCAGCACCTATGCCTTCCAAAAAAACAAACAGAATTAGTCTTGTTTGGCACAATTTTTGTTGTCAAGGATTGATTTTTCCAAGGTTTGAATCATCTTATTATGGGTCTTTGGACATAATGGATTTCTCACTACCCACTGTTGGCGAGAGTTTGTGGAGCTCTTTTGGTCCTTGGTTGGCTTTGGATGTGAATTATCCATCAGCTAAGTTTTATTGAGTGGTTTCCTTTGTATGGTGAAAACCTGATTTCTGATGGCCCAATTCCTGCAATTGCCTATTGTGTATTTTGGTTATCCACCTCGGTTACTGACATGGACTGGAGCTCCAAGTTAACTTATTATTAACTTTTGTATGTTAAACTCTATAATCATCCCCCTTTTGTCCTGCAGACCAAAATACTACTGCTTTTAAAGAGGTCGCAATTATTCGACATCCCCGTCAGGGCGAATATGCATTTGGTTTCATTACATCATCTGTAGTCCTCCAGGTAAATATATCTAATCCAATCTAAAGAGGTGGACTTTGGATCTGTTTTCCTGATATTTTGCATAAACTTTTCCAACAGAACCATCTTGGATGCAGTCAAAACCTTTTGTTTGTAAGCAGTAGGCAGTAGACAATGAAAAGTAGGAATGTGGAATGGATTAATTAACGGAACATTTATGCACTATTATTTCCTGTTTTTGTATTTTTTACTGGTCAAAGAAAGTAGCATCGATAGAGGCACCTTCTTAAAAGCAGGAAGCCTTCCTGCCTTCCTTACTGATCAGTAACTAGAAAAGGTGGTGGCTTAATCTAGTCTTGGAGGAATTGTGTTTTCCACAAGAAATTTTGAAAGTTTATGTCATGGTACTCTAACCTTATGCTGAATAACAATTAAAGAAAGTGATATAGTAATTGTTAATATCTTGCATTTGCTAAATGACATCGGGTTCCCAGTGCTTCTGCTTTAACTGTGTTAACTGCAACTCTTTAAAACCCATCACCAGTCGGTATAATTGGGCAATTCCTGGAAAATTCTCTCTTTCTGAAATTTGGTTTAAATGATACCCCTAAAATAAATGTAAACGGCGAAGAGCTTCTGCAATGTTAGATAAAATTTCAGGGCTGGAACATTTGCTTGACTTTTTATCGTGTCATGTATTTACCTTGAGCTTCTTGCTAATTTTTTTATTTTGGTTGATTTCAGAGAGAAAATGGGGATGAAGAGTTATGCAGCGTTTATGTCCCAACCAACCATTTATACATTGGCGATGTATTTCTGGTCAATTCAGAGGACATCATAAGACCCAATATATCTATTCGAGAAGGCATAGGTCTGATATTTCCTCAGAACCGTTTTATTGATGGGACTGTTTTAGCTACAGCTACTCTAAATTTGCAGCAAAAGTTTCTGTGCTCATTTTTTCTATGGACTGCAATATTAGGATGATCCCTTAGGGTTGTTCTAAAACGTTCCCAGTTATTAGGATGTTAACCGCTAGGCTTTGAATGCTTTGAGGACAAGGTTTACTTTTGAAGGCTTTTGGTAATTATTTGCATATCGTTGCATTCTTTCACTTTGCTAACATTTTCTCCTGTGATTCAGAGATCATTGTTTCTATTGGTATGACAATGCCACAAGTGTTGTCTCCTGCACAGAGGCTTCCTCATCAGAGCAATAGGGTTTCTCCGAACAGAATTATGTAAAGGTACTGAAGATAGACGATTCTACAATCTACAATTATTCAATGTACCATCTGTTTTACAGTACTATATTGATGTCTTTGTTCTGTTTATTTCATGCAGATCACTGTTATTGTCTGATAATGTGACTATCAAAAAAGAGGCAGCGAGGGGGATTTCTTTGGCTAGGTTTACAATGTTAGGTAATTAGTTGCCTAGGGAATACACCTTATTATCAAATTGAAAGACATAAGCATAAAGATCTCAGTAGTCTATAAGAACATTTCTTCTTTAGGATGTGCTATATTGTAAATGAACTGTCGAACACTGCAGTTTTCCTCTTCGTGAAGACAGATTCGTAGGAAATGCCAGTTAACATGCTTTTCTGTACAAAGACTCTGTGGGCACGAGGAGATTTGTCATCATATTATATTACTCTGGTTGCTAAATTACTTATGCGCAACCATGATTTCATCGAAGATTAGATGATTTGTAACTCAACTTGAAATGAAGTTTAGTTCCCTAATGCTCGCTGCCATGAGCAAGGTTTTACAGATTGAAAATTGCCACTGATCTATCGCTTCTGCATGGATATCCTAGGAGTCACTATGGAATACCCATCATTATACCCTCTGGCTATTTGACTCTTGTACTGGCTGCCTGAAAGCCTAAAACAAGTTGCAGTCTTAACTTTTTAAGACCGGCCTGTGGAGTTCAGATTTGAAGGCAATGCAACATGCCATCCTATTAGAAAAATACCATGTTTCTAGGAGAAAGGTTAAATTAGTAAATTACTGTCTCGCTAACAATACACTTGCAGCTGGAGTAGCTCAGTTGGTTAGAGTGTGTAGCTGTTAACTGTAAGGTTTAGGGTTCAAGCCCGTTCTCTAGCGTCAATTTCACAAGCGAAGGCCTTGACTCAATTTGCAGGACTGTTTTTCAGCCTTTATCCTGACAATCAGTTTCTAAAGTCGTTAGAAAGCTAAAGTAGAAACAATCACCAATATTTGTTGTGCGCGCTCTAAACGGTCAGATCCCTTATTTTGAAGAGATCTTTTTTATTCATGTTTTTTTTATTTTCGTTTTCTTTTTGTCTTTAGATTGTGCCTTTTTGGAAGTGATTTCTCCACAACTATTTCCTGTTCAATGAGAACTCGTTCTTGTTCAAGTCTTAAACCTCGAATAACGAATTAACGATTCTTTAAAATTAAAGAAGATGACAACGATACAGAAGAATACGACATGGTAACACTTTATACTTTTTTTCTTCCCTTTTTTATTTTACAGACAGGACAACAAATGAACCATTTTTTTTTCATCATCGGTTTTTGCATTAGGATTGTACATTTGAACTCATTTTCGTCTTCGCTGAGCCGTAGGGGGTAGTTTCTCAGTTGGACCACAAGGAAGTTTCTGCCCGGTCTCCCTTTCAATTCTGCTCTTGAGCTCTCTAAGTATCCGAATTTGGGCAAGCTTCTCAGGAGATAATTTGTCCCAGTAGATTCCTGCAGGTTAAAAGAGTTCGTTCTCTAATCTCTCTAAGAACAGGAGACGAAAACTACCTCAAACCATTACAAGGTCGCTTTATGCATCAAACTACAGTACATTCAAGACTTAAAACTACATAATGAATTATCAGAAAAAACTACATACTGCAGTGATTCACAAACCTTGAGGCTTGGCAATATTCGTACTGGGGAAGATGACTTGAGTGGGAGTGCATATGATGTCAACGGGAACATCATGGACCAGCAATTTCTCAGCTGGAATATCATCTACCAGTTGGCAGTCATGCACTGCCAGAGTTTTAAGAGAGAAGAGAACATCGAAATACTTAAGAGAGTATAAATGAACAGTCCACAAATAAAGGGAGCATAGAAAATGGGATGCAGAGTTAAGTGTTCCAACTACCGGAGGTGACAACTGGTGTTGAGTCATCGATAGCTCCCATATACCGCAGCATCCCGTATTCAAGTTCTGCAAATCCCTGCACCCCGAAATCTCTTTCACGTCAACCTAGCAGAATCTTCAACTTAAAAGATGGTATTGCACTTTAAGTAGTCACAAAAATCACCTCCTTTTTTAGAATGAAGGTTTGAAATTGTAGTTTAAGAGCCATGTCCATTCATTAACTCTCAAATATTTTCAACTCGTATGACTCGCAAAAATTTACCCTGAACTTATAATACAAGAAAGATAAAATTATTACCTCTCCCTTGCCAAGTCGAGCCCCTGTTTTCGGGTCAACAGCGACAGAGCCAATGACAAATAGATCAACTTTGATCTTGTCATCCAATCCAATAGACCTTCCATACTTGGCAACACCTACAGAGGTGCATGCCTCGTTGATGGTACTAGGGCTTAACATGTGAGGTTCAATTACAGAAAAAAACCCAGTTCTCAAACGGGGTTGAGGAGTTAACAGTTCCTTTCCACCTGCAAACACCACCAGGAGGCACAAGTTGCTTATAAGTTTGCAATTCATACTTGCAACGTCATCAATAGTATGGTATAAGGCTTCGAGATTGAAGACTAACCAGAGAGAGTGAGAAATCTGACTTGTTTTTGAGGTGAATCCGGGTTTACCTTCACCAAACCCGCATCATGAAACGCCTCCAACCCACCCAACTGTCATAAGCCGACCCCATTAAAAGACTAGGAAACAAAACACGCATTCAAAAAGGGAGGAGTGAAAAACAGGGTCGTGTCTTTTACTTTTTTAGCCGCAGCAGAAGCGCCAACGAAATTGGGGATCCGGTGGTGAACAGGTCTTGGGTTCTGAGCAATGTTGCGGGCCTCCATCAAATCCCAGATTCTCTTTCGGATGGCCCATTTCCAAGCTTTGGGGTCATCCTCTGTACTCGTCTCCATCTCCCTTGTAGAAGTCTCGGCCATGGAGTCTCTCGCCTGTGCATCAAGTCTTGACGTGTCGGCCTCGTAAGCTTTCTCGTCCAAAACGACGTTGTCGTCTTGGGCATTTCGTTTAAAACTTTCCAGCTTGCAATTTGAATTGAGCAATCTCTTGCTACGAGTTCTCGAGGAGAAACAAATTAACGATGGAGAGTGGAGGTTGTCAAAGAGAAGGGTGTGTTTGAGCGAAAATGGAGCTGATATGCGGCACAGAGTTGAATCCATGAGCAGTAACCAGAAATTCGGGTTATTAAGAGAAACTAGTGCTTTGCGCGTCGATTTTTAAGGTAAGAAGGGATAGGGCATCAATGGCTTAGATTGACGTGTATATGCTAAGCTAACACGATCAACTTCAATACCGTTAATCTCGTCTCGCATTCATTCTCACATTTATTACAAGATTATAATCCAGAAAACGGATCATGGCTGAAGCGATTATGAAATTTTTCACACAGCACAGGCTCACACATACAGATAGTGAGAAACAGAGAGAGCGAGGGAGGGAGAAAATGCAGAAGAAGAAAAGGGTACCTAAGAAGAACGGTTCTCAGCCTTTTGGTTGAGGATGAGAGTATAGCAGAAGCAGGAGAGGGAGGGAGGAGGGAGGGAGGGAGGTGGAGAATGAAGAGGGGAGTAGACAGCAGATATCGAAAGCAGCTCATCAGGAAATTGGGAAGAATATATTTAGGTGAGGGGATAAAGAATACCACATAACGGCCCAATGGGCCTGAATTACAAGAATATACAACAATGATAAAAGGTGATCCCTCTGGATGAGAGATGTAACACATTTCTGTGTGTCTACTCTTTAAAACTGACCATATCTGCAAACAAGAAATCTACTCCTGACATTAAAAAAACATTCCTAAGAAATGATTGGTACAAACATTAGAGGTGAGTGAGAAAGCCAATAAATAAAAATGAAAGAGCATCCACCAGTACGAAAGCAATGAACCATTACAAGAGAAGAGAGTTGGAGCTGTCACCAACATGTGAATATCCTTGCCAAGCATGAATCCTCAAGAATTATAATTTCCATAGCAAATCCTTAACACTGCTTTTCTTTATTGGTTTTCTCTAATGGACTGTAACTGGGAGAATGAGATCCGGACAATCGACCCAGAAAGTGAAGTAGCATGCTTGCACACGAGGGCTTCTGTAGCCTCCTCCTCAGTTTCAAACAGAACAAGCGCCTGCTTCTTCCCATTCATCTCAAAGAGCTTGGTGTTCACAATGGTGCCATGTTCCTCTACAAGACTCACAATCTCCTCCTCAGTGATGTCCTGAGGTAAGGTGGACAGATGAATCATCTTTGTTGGAGAGCAGCAGTATCGGTAGTTCTTTGCAGCATTACGGTTAAAGCGATTCAGATTAGAGTTCATGTACTCGTGCGTGTCAGCACCTTGAGTTATGTTTGGATGCTTTGAAAAGTTGACCTCCATTCGCTTTCCAAAAAGCATGGCACCCTGTTCCACATATGAAACAACATAAATACTGCCCATTGAGACAAGAAAAGGTGATATGGAGCATTCAAGGTGAAGAATTTATATCCAACAAACAATAATAATGAAGTAATAAATTCCAAGAAAGCTTTCATAGACAGAACCTTCAAAAAATGCACTGCCAATTCAGCTTGGAAACCATCCCCCATCTGAACAAGTGCGTGATCAGGCTTGTTGCGAAGAAGCTTAATTCGCACTATGTTCCCATAGAGGGAAAACAGATTGAAAAGCTTATCCTCGTCTATTTTCTGGACACAAACATTTTTCTCATATGAATACAAGGAATCTATTTCAAAATTATATTCAACGAGAATAAAGATATAAGAATGGACTTACATCAGGATTTAAATTGGAGACGAGAACTGTGCACCTATCATTTGTCCCACTAATTCCAGGAGGCAAACCTCCACCAAAGGCAGCAGCAATTGCAGCTGCGTTAGGCATCTAAATTTTTCAAAAGAGATCGAATGTGGCAAATTATAACACATCCTAAAACATTTTAGTAATAAAAAATGAGACTAATTTTAGGCAAAATAGTTCAAGTATTTAAGAAATTTCAGGTAATTAAAGAAGCTAAAATCTTATTGAGACTACACCGGACAACACTATTCTATGAAAAATTCTTACAGAAATGACTTATTTTTGGTTACAAATAATTGTTATGTTATATAAATCAGGAAAGATGGTGAGTGTATTTCCCAGTAATACATGATATTTCCACAAATGCAGATAATAAAGTTCATAAAACATCAAAGATAACCAAGAAGATTTACAAGAGCTCTTAAGGCTGTCGTCCATGCCTTGCCATTTCCTGTCTATCAGTTCTCATTTTCCAGGAGGACAAGTGTGGAAGAAGGGCCACAATGGTAAAACAGCATGCACAGTAAGGTGTTTATAGTTACAAATTAGGAGAATAACATAAAAATGCCAACTGTGGGGTAAAATGCAGCAAGGAAATGGGTAAATTTGATGTCCCAGTTCAAGTTTTCTGAAACTGTTCGATAGCATTATGACTACAGCATATATTTTAGTTTTCAGTTTTCAATCCTAGCTGTTATTTTCTGGAAAAAAGAGTTGGCAAAACAACCAACAGCAATTATGAACGGTTCATGTCAATTAGGCAGGGCATTACTGTAAATCTACAAAAAGACAAAAAAAAAGTGATACATGATTGTGGTCAGCAGACAGCCTCAATATTACACATGGATGCTAAATAGTCCTTATGGTGTGACCGTAGCAGTACCCACCTGAGGAAATCCAACTGCATGAGGGAAAAAAAAAAAAGGGGGAGTTAATGCTCAAGGAAGGCAAAGAGTAACAGATCATTGTAACATCCAAAGTCAGTACATGCCCTGACTCCAGTAACTTCAAGAGCATACATACCCACATCGCCATATGCAGGCTGCTGCAAAAAGACACAGAAAAGAATTCAATAACTCAAACCACCTATCACCAGCCAACATGTTAATTCAAGCAAAATACAACAAGAGGCTGGTACATACTTGGGAAGATCTGCCTTTCTGTTCTGAAGGCAGGTTAGGATTAGTGAAATCCCTGTGCAAAGGAAGATATAGTGTTTAGCAACACTGATCTGACAAACATAAAAAACATAGAAGTCAAAGAAAGAAGCCATAAGACTACCCACTCACCTTGAGCGGTCATTGTTGTAGTTCACTTGCAACTCATCCAGGCTACAAGACAAATATGAAAAGTAAATCAGTATCACCAGAGAATAAAAAAAGAAGAATCTGAAATCCTATCTTTCTGTGGTCCCAAGAATTAGATTGCCACCACCCTTCCTCAATTCCCAACGACCAGAGGATTGAGGAGAGAGGGGTGAGATAATAAAAATCATTAAAAAGTTCATTACATACTTCGAAAACTGAATGTCTAGCTGACAGCAGCCATCATAGATATTGCGTCCCTACCAAAACCAGCCAAGTTCCAAAAACTCTTATTAGAAATCCAGCTAACTGCAACACCTTGAAAACAAGCTTCTGGGTAAAAGCAACATCTAGAATAAAAAATTGAATAGTACCTGAAGAGAAGTCCTAGCCTGAACAGCACACTGGCGTGACTGATACTGAATAAGGGCTTGAAAACCTAAAAATATCCAAAACATTCATGCATGACACTTTCAAATCCCTCTGCGTATTTAATAAAAAGTGTAAGATAAATCCACAAAGCACTTGGAGTAAACAGTTAAGATACAGAGTTACAGAAAACACAGATGTTTCTCAACTACAAAGCTAGGGTACAATTAGAATGCACAAAAGTAAATATCAAAGTTAATTCATGTACGAACTAAAATTCTTAAAAGAGAAAATGGAGAGAAAGAGGGGAAGGGGGAGAAAAAGAAACTTGAAGAAGCTGACCAGCCGACTTCTGAAATGTGACAATCTTCTCCACAAATCCATGGGGAGAAAAAACTTGATGCAGCACTTCCACTGTAATAGGATATAGCATGTGATGTATCGTAACTAACAGAATTCGATTTGGCTGTGCATCCAGAGAGTGTCCAACAGTAGACCATCATAGAGACAGAAGAGAGAGAAGAGAATAAATAGAGAAGCATAGATAGCAAGAAGAGATATGTAGAGAATTATAGTTAGAAGAAAGATTGAACAAAACAGACCATTTATAGTCGATGGTTCAACATGCAGGAAGCATACAATCAACAGCACTAACAAGAAAAACATGAGAAATGCCAATGCAAAGTTTGAGAGATGAAAGTCCGAGAGAGAAAAATTTGTAGGTTACAGTTTATTAAAGAGATACAATTAACTTGCTATGCCCCTATACAGCTGCATCAAATCATCTGACGGCAGAATGCATAAAACTTGGTAGAAGTACTAGGACTATATTATCTTTACATTTTACGTCAAATTAGGCACATATAGTGGATGATCTACAATAAACACGTGAAGGAAAAAACAAGGGTGAAATAAAACAATCCACAGTGATTACAGTGTTGGTTTCATATTGGTGATTGAAGAAACTAATGATATTTCTCCTCTAATAATATACTTTCTGATTATGAATAATCACCATTACCTAGAAACACCACACTCCCAACTTAAAGCGGCTATTACACCTTACCAACCAATAAAAAATCAGTGCAACTCTCTAGTCAACCACCAATTGATAAAAAAAAATCCTTTTCGTCCATTAGCAAACCCCCCACCCCCCCCTCTTCTCCTGGTTGCTTCTCTCTCTCCCTTCAGTTTCAACAGGAGGGAAAAGATGTCATACAGAATTCTAGTCTCTGCTAATAGATACCTGCAATGAGAAGACAGAATGTCTCTTTGCTTCCCATAAATGAACCATGCACCTAGTCCACAAAGCCTCAATAATGCAAGGCCATATCATGCTGACCACATAGAGCACTCTAAGGTTCAACATAGAACCACAGAAGCTTCTATCTCTCCACTTATACGGATTGAAAAATATTGCCATCAACAAAGCACAGCATTTGGTTTTTAATGTATTAGACTAGAAAGTACCCACCTCGTCTCCTCGCCCTTGAGTATTTTGATCCATTGTAGTCAGTTCTTGATGCGATGAGAATTGAACATAAACATTCCTTCCCCTACAAGAAGAAAAGGAGATTCAAAACACATATTACAGTTATCAGTTTGGACCATTTGGTAGTGGTAATTATTCCAAAAAAATAAAGAATAAGAAAAAGGAAATGTCCTTGCAGAAAGTTCTCAAAGAGAACCGTAAACAAACTTTTCTATACCTTATAGTTGGCTGAACGTTTGTATAGAATTGAAGAGCGTTGATGGCTGAAGCAACATCTTGCATTTGGAGGAGAGCCTGCATGCATGGCAAACATAACAGACCACATCACGTTCCAGGTTCCATAAAAATCTGATGTGTTAATAATCATCACCGTTCAATTAGCATTAAAGAAACCTGATTTTTAGCACGAAGCATAACAAGCTTCGTTATAACCCCAAATGGCTGGAACAGCTGAAGCAAGTCATTCTGAAAGAACAACACGAGATCATCAGTGATGTAATTACGTAAACCAGTTGACAAATACCATTCTGTAATTCAGAATTGCCTCCTAAGACGAAAATGAAAAATAAATCTTTCCAACACCTTCTCCAGTTATCACTGAGTTTCGACACTTGCAAAGCTTCTGGCTAATCAAGCGACAAATCTACATGATTTCAATGACTTGAAAAATTAATGAGAATAAACGGTCAAGAGGACTAGAGCTTCTAGGCTGAGTATTATTCACACTAAGATTTTATTAATTAAGATAATTAATAATCACGCCCTTTGTATTAAAGCCAGCCTGAACTTTATCCCATATGGTAAATTAAGCTAAGCTCAGTCTTGGCTATTAGTAGCATCGGATTTAGCTCATCCTAAGCATTAATGTTCTTTGTTTAACGTAAATTACTTTTTTCAGTGTATACCACTAGGGTAATCGCTGCAGGTATTAAAGAGAGATGAGATAACACCTAGTATGAAGGTTGAGGATTTTCTCTGTTGTCTTTCTGTGCTCTGATAAAAAGCATACCCTCTCATCTATTGCATTTAGGAAATATAACACCACCTGATTCTTTTCAGAAGGAAGTTTTCAATCTTTTTCGAGTTCACTAAATACTACCACATGTAGAAATTGAAAGGATGATAAATAACGTCTATGCAATTTTCTGGACAAATCCCCATCACCCCATCAAGCGTATTGAATTTATTCTGTTCATATTTTAAAAGGGGCTTTTCCTCTACCTGATTTAGCACAAAGAAAAATGTAAAAATTTCCTTCCTGTGCCGCACATAGAATGCTAATCAACACGTATTTACAAAATACATTGACTCGGAACCTTCCAATAAAGCATAAGCAAAAGGAAAGCTAATATCTCCAAACAGAAGCGTGATCTGCCTTTAAAGATCAGCTTCCAAAAAAGCATCATTCCTCATGATGCATTTCAACATGAATAGAAACGCTTGCATAGATGCACTAATAAATACTTAAACTACAGCTTGTGATTATTTTTGTGTATACATGTGCGTGCATGAAAGAGAGAGAGAGAGAGAGAGAGAGAAAGAGTATACTTCAGAAATTTCATGCCCCACGTTGCGAACATGGATAACTTTGGAGGGTTCAGTCATTTTCTAACCAGCCTGCAACAAGCCAACACCAAAGTTAATCCATAATTTCAGTTCTCAAAAGTAAAACTGCATTCAAAAGTTCCTCGCACGAGATAAAAGCAACTAGAAAACATTCACTTCTTCCTTCACATGGAAAATGCTCACAGTATAATCAATCAACATTCTAGTTCCAATTCAAAACCAAAAGAATGCAACTTTACCACGCACGAAGCAGTACTAAATCATGAAATACTAACAACTTGCTTCAAAACCACAAAACTCATTAAATAATTACAATTTTTCCACTTTAATCCATGAGCAAATCTTCATAAAAACGTATTTATTTAAGAACCTAATCATTCAAATACAATAAAACATTTAAACCCTCTGTCACTAACGGAGTAACATATACATAGCTGCAAGCAAAGGTCGTGAAATTCGAAAAACCCTAACGGTCTGTTTGGAAGCGGAGAAATAGCAGAGAAAGTGAAATTAAAAAATAAAGAAAAATATCGAATCTAAAAGCAGTAGCTAAAACAAGCTCATCGTGCAATAAAATCACAGAGCTATCAACTTTATTAGATTTTCTTATAAACCAAACAGACCCGTATGCATTCATCGAGTGCGATCGAGAATTGAAGAGAGAAATAGAGAACTTGCCTGCGAGAGAGAGAGAGAGAGAGGAGAGGAGAGAGGAGAGGAGAGGAGGAGATCGGAGAAAGATTGTTTTGTGTAATTAGAAGGAGAAGAGGAAGTACAAGTAGATCGACTGCTACGCAGGCACGTTGTCCGTCTCTGTTGTTAGTGGCTATTTTGCCCTATCTCCTTCGGTTAAAAATGCCACTACTTGTTTTTTTTTGAGTAAAAGTAATGGTGGACCCCCAGTTCCATGTGGGACCCATATTATCTTCTAGTTTTTGTTATTTACTTTGTTATGGTGGACTCGATTTTTTTATTTACAGTTTTTTTCTTTTTTTCTTTATGTGAAATCCATGAGATTTTAGACATCCGTTGAATTCTTGTATCGACAAGGTCAGATTTAGGGTGCATTTGAATTGGGTAAAGAAGGTACGTAAGAATTACGAGTACTTGGGTCAAAAAGTGGAGTACTAGATATATAAAAACTACAAAATGTTCCCTGAGGAAAACTGTAGAAAAGTGCAGAAAACGTTTGGCGAAAATTAAAATTATGTAATAATTGATCTTAGCAGATATTAAATCAAAATTTGAATTAAAAGTAGTGAATGACATGCATTTATGAGCTTCATGATTAGTATAAGGATAAAAAATTATGAGTCGTGAGTTTCAATTAGAGATACCAAAAAGCCAAAGATTTTAACCCTAAATAATTATTTCCAACATTTCTTTTTTCTTGAATGATGTGGGAGTATCCAATAGGAGCTAGAAAACAACCATTTCATGAATTGAAGAGATTTTATTCCCAACCTCATGTGAACAATCTAGTTACGAGAGTTAAACCATACTACGGAATATTTTCTGAAATTAAGTTGTTTTTTTTTATGTGTTTATAATGCCGATGAAAATTGTTGTAATATTTTTTCATGGTTAGTATATGAAAAAAAACTATGTCGAGAAATAGGGATAAAAAAAACTATTTGTTGTTATTGGATTAAATTAAAATTGATTGAAGAGAAAATTTTAACATACAAATCCAACCAAAATACTCCTTATTGTCGAAAAAACATTAAATCTAACTTATCATAAATAAAAAAACATATTAAGTATGACTCTATTGTTTGTTTATAATATTAGAATTTCAACTAATCTTTAGTGAATATAACCTATACTCGATATATAAATGAGTTTTTAAATATTGACGACCTTTTATTAACATGAAAAGTGAGTCACCCACAACTTCACTTACACAAGTGTTAAGTCACCGACGACTTTAAGTTATAGATTTAAGAAATTACCAATAACTTCATCACATAAGTGAGAAGAAACCAACAATTTCATTTTGTTCGAGTAAGGAGCATATAATTGGTTTATAAGTCATTGATAATTTTGTCACATAAGTGAGAAGCTCTTGATGACTTCATTTTAGACTAGTAAGCAACAAATAAAATAATTTCAAAATGGCTTCATCACATAAGTAAAACATCACCGACAGTTTCATTTTAGCAATTTAAAACTAAATAAAATTAATTCGAGAGCCACCGATGACTCCATCTATATAAATGGAAAGCCATCGACAACTTCATTTAAAGCAAACCAAAAAAAAAGGCAAAATGACTTCGAAATCATTGGCTATTTCATCACATAAGTGGGAAGCCACCGACTGACTTTGTTTTAAATGAATAAAAGGTAAGTAAATTGATTCAAAAGCCATTAGAAGCTTCATCACATAAGTGAAAAGTCATCGGTGGCCTATTTTCCGACAAACAGAATGTATGCAAAATGATGTCGAAATTATTGGTAGCTTTTTCACATAAGTGAAAAGTTATTTATAACTTCGTTCTCACTAATATTTTTAGGAGAAAAACGATTTTAGGGCCATTGATGACATCGTCTACATAGGTAAAAAGTCATCGATGGCCTATTTTCTAACTAATAGAACACACGTAAAATAGCTTTGGAAAAATAATGAAATTAGATAATACGTTTTAAATATGATTATTACACGTTTAGATGCATTGTAATCAAGTATGATAAATCAATCAAAGCACAAAAATAGGCACACACCCGTATTAAAAATGCATATATTTAAACAGGATAATTCATTCGTAATGGCATTTACAACAATATTCATTTTAACAACATTTAAACCATGAATATATAAATGAAATACGATAATTTTATTTATATTTTAAAAGAGTGCAATCATTATAAAGGTTTTATCCAAAAATATTATGTAGTTCAAATATCCGATTTGACGATCAATTCTACTCTCTTCGTCCTTAATGATAACTGCTTGTTCGGTTAGCTAGGGAAAAGAGTAGTTGCTATTGTCAAAACGCTATATAGGTCAAGCCAAGGTGATTAAAGATCCCTCAAAGTTTAACAAATAGTCAAAGTTGTTGTTACTACTGAAGTTACTACAAATTTGTCAAAGTTATCTACAAATTTTATAACGAACTCTATAAACTTTCAACTTTTCCGAAAGTTGCCATTGTAAGCTGCAACTTGAGGAGATTTAGCAATAAAGCAATTACTCTATTTTTTTCTTGTCAAAAGCCAATGCAAATACGATCTATAACATCATGTTATTCTCGTTAAACACAATCAATCAAACAATAATTTTTTTTTAATGAAGGTTGCCTAACTCGCTGGCACGTGAGGGAAGAGGTTATTCGTTGCACACCTGGTGTATAAATGAAGAGGTCGATCGGCATACTAGCATGTGAAGGATAGGCTGCCGGATATGTTGGAAGGTTGGCATAAGTTGGTTATTGGCACACGAGGTAGGTGTTGCGAGACGTGCTAACACACTCGCTACGAGAAGGGCTCGTGTTATACCAAGCAAGTCTTCGCGAGGTAAGCTAAGTACGCTACTTATAGGGGTCGACGCTAGATGAGGCATGAGGGGTTGGCTCTAGATGAAGGTTGTATGTGGGATAACCGATGGCTAGCGAGGCAAAACATACCGTGGTGAGGTAGGTTTACGAGGTCGCTCTAAGGTCGTCGTGTGAGGAAGTGGCTACGAGGTAAAGCTATTGATCGGCAAAGGGTTAACACTATAAGGGACTATCACAAGGTAAGGTAAGTTCGTGGTGAGATAGGTTTGCAAGGTTGTTGTGGGGTGTTGTGTGAGGGAGTAATTGGTGAGATGAGGGGCTGCTACGGGCTAACGAAGGGGCGAGGCCTTGGGGAGGCCGGTTTGAGAGGCTATTGTAGGTTGTTGTGTAAGGGAGTGACTGGAAAGGTAAGGGCTGCTAGGGGCTTATGAATGAGGTAGGTCGTGGTAAGGATGGTTTGTAAGGC